ATTCCATGCCCCTTTGGTGTATAGCTATGCTGGCCACGTGACCATGGAAAATGTCTTCAGACAATATTGGCTTCCTCGGCTAAGAAATGGAGATGAGCATCACCCCATAGAGTCGGACATGACTGGACAGGGAAACCTTTACCTTTACCTTATAGAACGTTCTCCCCCCTGCAAAGCTGCCAGATGGCAGTTTTACTGCAGAAGCCCTCTAGTGAAACCATGGGCAGCTTCACTATGGACTGCTTTGCTATAGGAATGCTGCAGAAGTGGTTGGCCGCTCACTAATGAAGTTGCCCACAGCTTCACATCACCACCGTGGGTTGCTGGGAAGAGCTGCAGCCAGCAGCCCCACAGTGAAGCCGAAGAGAGTAGCTAGTTTTAGCATGGAGCTCTCAGTGCAAAGAAAGAGCAACAAAGAAGAGCAACAAAGATGATTAGGGGACTGGAGGCTAAAGTATATAAGGAACGGCTGCTGGAATTGGGTATGTCTAGTTTAATGAAGAGAAGGACGAGGGGGGACATGATAGCAGTGTTCCAATATCTCAGGGGCTGCCACAAAGAAGAGGGAGTCAAGCTATTCTCCAAGGCGCCTGAAGGCAGGACAAGAAGCAACGGGTGGAAACTAAGCAAGGAGAGAAGCAACCTAGAACTAAGGAGAAACTTCCTGACAGAACAATTAACCAGTGGAACAACCTGCCTCCAGAAGTGGTGAATGCTCCAACACTGGAGGTTTTTAAGAAGAGACTGGACAGCCATTTGTCCGAAATGGTATAGGGTTTCCTGCCTGAACAGGGGGTTGGACTAGATGACCTCCAAGGTCCCTTCCAACTTTACTATTATTATTATTATTAAACTTTCACCCCATTTTTTGTGTTATGGTGGAGAAAAAGGGAGAAAAAAACCCAGGCCTTCTCTTGATCCAGAGAAATTTTACTTTGGTTTTTATATATATACGTTTAATGTATTCATTAATTATTTTTAGCCTTGTACACTATCCCGTTATTGTTTATGAAATGGGCAGCTATATAAATTGCTTAAAATAAATAAATAAATTGACAGCAGAAGACATGTTTTTCCAATTATTTTCCATACTAATTAAAGCATTGGGAGAGAAGGGGGAAAGTTGACCCTTGGGATTTCTGGTGTCAGCACCAAAGGAGATGTCCCCCCATACCACCTCTCCTCCCCATGCCTTTGGTATGGACATTGCAAGAACCCCTACAGTATCCAAAAGCTGACATAGTTCTTTGTGGACCCCCATACTGAATAAACAGAATTTTATTGATATCTTGCAACAGAAGTCTAACACTTATGCTGATTTTTTTAAAAAAAACAAAACAAAACTGAAAATGGGTAAAGTTATTTCAGTCTAGAAAGAGTATCTGAGGAAAGCCTTTGACACTTTACTCTAGAAAACGGTGAAAAACCACCAGTATTAAACCAGATGTGCTTACAAAGACTCCGCTAAGGCTCTAAAGCTCTTGCTGTGAAACCTTAGTTTTCTTTTTATTTCAAACTTTTATTGAAGGTACAAAAGCAAACCATTATATTTCAGATAGATCATCTGAAACCGTTGACTTGGAATGTTGTCCTGAAATATGGCTTTATGGAATGAATTATGGTCTATGTTAAACCGGGGTTAGAATAAAGAGCGTAACACTGTTGCAATATTTGAAACATTTTGTGTTTAGTTGCCAAGTATCAAGCTTCCATTTAGTTGTTTTTCTCTTCCTACTTTGTAGCCTCATTATGTAAGTCCATTGCCTATGAAACAGTTTTGGAAATTAAATGAATAAGGAATAATTTTTAATGAATTTTCCAAACTTCAGATAATTTAATGAATATTTTCATTGAAAGCTATGCAATAGTCACGTACAGCACCCCAGATCCTTATCTATTTTGTAATTGTTTGCGTCAGTGGAGTTTGGGGTAAAATGGGTCAAGGAAGTGATCTTTCCATGGCAAAATAGAGTGGACAATGATGGCTGAAGTTATGTGGTAAGATTGAATTTGAGCCACAGTATATTATAATATTAAAAAATGGGCCTTGTATTAATTTTGTTATATTATGAAGTGATACCAGAAAGAGTCGTGTTACATTATCAAATGGAAAACAATTACCTGATGAAAGAATTCACAATAACTTTATATTTTTATTTGTATAAGATTATAAAATATAAGCAGAATACCAAACAATAAACATATTGCTAAAGCTCTTAAAGATTTTAACAAAATTTAACAAATTACAACATTAAAGAGTTAGAGTTATGGTGAAAACTGTAGATAAAGATTTAGGTTATAGTCAAGATTTATAAAATATACCATATAATACTATATAATTAGAAACAAAAGATAGAAAAAGAATCTTTTACATAATAATACAACATTTCCAAGAGTGGAACTTAATATCTGGAATAATATCTTTTTTCTTCAATTTTTTAATACGATTCTTTTGGCCACTGCCAATGCCCAGTACAACAGTAATTCATCATAGTCATTTTGGTATATAATTCAATATCATATTACTATAACATATGTAGCAATGAGGATTTCCTCTTAAATCCACTGATATACATTAAAATACTATTCTACAAAGGCACCAAAATTTCATATGACCACATGGGGTCAATAAATTTAGAAGCTGAGACAGTGGCTTTAAATCAATTATGTGCCAATTATTTTAACGATTTTTCACAACTTAAAACTAAATTTGATCTAACAAATTTGCAACAGTGGTAGCATTTTAATTTATGCATTTTTAACAGCTCAGGATAGGCCAGCTAATTTGGTCATTTCAAAGGCACCTGAGATGTTTTCTTATTTGATGGAATTATCACAGAAATTAAACTGTAAAAATGATGTTTACAATGATGAAATGATATTTACATTGATTGGCTGTCTCAGATACAGCTAGTGTAAGGATTAAGTTGTTGGACTATGTCTATGATGATCTATATTCAAGAGACCTCTCAAGCATAGAAGCTCACTGAATGACTTTGGGCTGATCAGTATCTTTTGGCCCAACCTATCATGTTGAATTGTTGTAGAAGAAAACAGAAGAGTCTTGAATAGCTTTCAGCATCTATAAGAAAAGTGTGGTTTAAAATAAACAAATTTATTTCACTTGCCTGGGTACAGTATTGATTGAATAGTATTGATCTGCCTTC